TGGAGACGGTCGCTGCTGCTGGGTCGTCACCATGGAGACGGTCGCTGCTGCTGGGTCGTCACCATGGAGACGGTCGCTGCTGCTGGTCAGTCGCCATGGAGACGGTCGCTGCTGCTGGTCAGTCGCCATGGAGACGGTCGCTGCTGCTGGTTAGTCGCCATGGAGACGGTTACTGATGCTTGTTAGTAGCCATGGAGACGAGCACCGCAATGCTGCTGCTAGTTAGTAACCATGGACACGGTCAGTACTAACCAGCTGTTGCCCAGTTGGTTGTGGCGGTGGGCGTAAGCAGTAGAAACAGACCGGTCTTTGCAGAACTGTATTTGTGACTCCGTCAGTCACCTCGCCCCCCACGCTATTATCTTTTGTACGGCTTCATCCAGCCATGGATGTTTCGTGTCATCGTTCAGCCTCCTCGCATCCTCTCTCGCATAGCATGCATGCCATTGCCCGTGCAGCATCCGTCGCGCGCGCGTGCGTGGGATTCTCTGGCTTCCTTCTCTCTCTCTCTCTCTCCCTGCTCAGCCTCCTCCGCTCACCAGCTGTCAGTCACGAGCTCGGTGCTTCCTGCCCCGTGTTTGTTTACTCCGGCCGTCTTGCCATAGTTGTTTGTGTGGCTGTTTATTTGCACAGCTCACGGGCGCAGCTTTGCGCTGGATTTTCGCGGGATTGTAGCGAAGCTGGACGGCTTCGCAGGCGGATTCCACGGCATCCCTTCCTGATCCGCATTCGAGCAGACATCCGACTCAAATGTACGGGCACCGATGCAATGAATGCCGATATTGCGGTATCCCACGGGCACTCAGTCCCTGTGGTGTGGTATCCCCACGGGCACTCAGTCTATGGTGTGATGTCCCCACGGTCACTCGGTCCCTGTGGTGTGGTGTCCCCACGGGCACTCAGTCTATGGTGCGATGTCCCCACGGGCACTCGGTCCCTGTGGTGCGGTGCCCCCATGGTCACTCGGTCCCTGTGGTGTAGTGTCCCCACGGGCACCCGGTGCCTGTGGTGTGGTGTTCGCACGGTCACCCAGTCCCTGTGGTGTGGTATCCCCACGGTCACCCGGTCCCTGTGGTGCAGTGTCCCCACGGTCACTCAGTCTCTGTGGTGTGGTGTCCCCACGGGCACTCAGTCCCTGTGGTGCGGTGTCCCCACGGTCACTCAGTCCCTGTGGTGCATGCGGTTACCGCATGGTCACTCGGTCCTTGTGGTGCAGTGTCTCCACGGTCACTCAGTCCCTGTGGTGCATGCGGTTACCGCATGGTCACTCGGTCCTTGTGGTGCAGTGTCTCCACGGTCACTCAGTCCCTGTGGTGTGGTGTCCGCACGGTCACTCGTTTCCTGTGATGTGGTGTTCCTTCCGGCGACGCGACGTCGGCACAAGTCAATGATGTGAGATGGGTGGCTAGACGTGCGCGTACCTATAGAGCATGCAGTGCAATGATGAATTCTCCTCTTTCACTCTGCAAACGCACGCACGCTCGCTCGCACGCACGCACGCACGCACGCACGCACGCACGCACACCTAGTTGACTTGTCCCAGCGTGTCGGACAGGGTCGGCGGGTAACATGAGAGCTCCGCACATGTTGCGCACCCACCAGGCCACCGGGCTGTTGCCGCTGCTGCCGCTGCTGCCGCCGCTGCTGCCGCTGCTGCTGCCGATGTTGCTACAGCAGACCCCGCTTCCTGCTGTAACCCAGCTAGCAATCCTCGCTGCACGTACCCACCCGCGCACCGCCGCAGCGCACCCCCCCCCCCACACACACCACCACCACCGCCGCCGCCGCCGCCGCCACCCCCTGGAGAAAGTGTTGCCAGCGGTGGCAAGCGAAGATGGAGGCGATATATAGAGAGGAGATGTAATCGGGGAGGGAGATATAGAGAGGGGGGTCGGCGTGATATGGTTTCATAAGCGGCATCGGCGAGGTGGCGGCGGCGGGCGCTGTGGCGGATGCGAATGGTTTAAGGCGCCGTGAGAGAGAGGAGACCGGCGCGAGGACCGATCTGGCTTCTTCCACTGGCCCGCGTTGCTGTCCCACCGCCCTCAGTATATATCTCATCGCCCTTGTACTGCGACAGTCGAGCAACACACGCGCGTAGTCGCAAAAGTTCGCTCTGGAATTTTGCGAATGGGGGAGAAGGATGAGGAGGAGGAGGAGAAGGAGGAGGGGGAGGTGGGGGAGGACGGTGAAGAGGAGGACGGTGAGGAGGAGAAGAGGAGGAGAAAAAGGAGGAGGAGGAGAAGGAGGAGGAGGAGGGGGACGGTGAGGAGGAGGAGAGGGAAGAGGAGGAGAAGAAGGAGGAGAAGAAGAAGAAGAAGAAGGAGGAGGAGGAGGAGGAGGGGGGGGACGGTGAGGAGGAGGAGAGGGAAGAGGAGGAGAAGAAGGAGGAGGGGGACGGTGAGGAGGAAAGGGACGACAGACGCTCTTTGTGTTGTTTTGGATGGCGGAGAGGGGCGCACCCGCCGGAATGACAGGAGCGCACGATGTCAGGATAGTGACGGTGTGCGCACCACTGCTCGCACCATAGAAATAGATAGATAACCAGCATTCTAGGTTATCTATCTATTTCTATGGCTCGCACTGACACGTGTGGCTTCCTGACTGAAGCGACACCTGGCGTGTGCAGGTAGAGACCGATACTGAGGCTGTTCGGTGGTGCGGATGAGATCTTGCTACGGCAAGGTTAGAAGGGAGCAGAGGAAACGCGGGACGGTTGGAAGGAAATGAAATAAAGGCAAGAGGCCTCGCAGGTAATAGAAGAAACGCAGGTCGTTTAGCAGGAAATAAAATGAAGAAAGAGGGTTGGCTGCGAATAGAGGGAAGGGGGAAGGTTGATAGGAAATGGAAAGAAGGTAGGACGGTTCGCGGGGAATAGACGGAATGCAGGAGGGTTGACAGGAAGTGGAAGGAATACAGGAAGAACAAATAGAACGGAAGGAAGTCTAGCCGTAAATCGACGGGAAGCAAAGGAAGACAAGTAATCAGTACAAGGCAGAACGGAAGGTTAGCAGGAAGTACAGGGGAAAACCAGTACAGCTAACCGGGAAGGAGAGCCAGGGAAGACAGGAAGGCCTGCCGGCGGTGCGGACCGGAAGGAAGCTGACAGATGCTTCAGGACGCCGTTGTTGTGTCAGCGGCGGCCGCGACCTGTTACATTTGCAGGCGCTGCGAAAACAAGCATGTCCGCCGAGCGGTGGTAATTGGACGTGTTTGTTGTACTAGCGTGTGTGAGGGCGTGCAGGCGCTCCCGCTGGAGGTGGCTATAGCAGCGCAGCGAGTATTCCCTGCTGGGTGGACATCGAGCTAGCGCTGGTCATGAGGGGAGTCGGGGTCGTTAGCACGGTGTGACGACGGAATGCCGCGGGAGAATCATCGTAATGGGTCCATCAATGTTCGCTTTTTTTCACTGCATGGCTGTGACGACGACCACGGGCGGTGAACGAAGAAATATATATATATATATTCTTGATTTTTATCTAGGAATACATATACCCTAACAAAATACACCGTACTATTATTATGCCATATGTTTGGAATGTGGACATGTCACATATTTGGAAGTAAATCTTATGTAAAATTGGTCTCTGAGTTAATGCTGTCTAGATTACGTAAAGATTTTTTCAATCCTACTTTGAATTTTTTGTTTTATAGCCACCAAATAAACTGAAATGGCACTATTTTTATTGGTGAGATGAGTAACGTACTTGAAAAAATCACGACACTTCTAACGCTATAAAATTTATGGATAAACTCCTAATTATAATGGCTTAGCTTTTCGGTTTCCATTTATTACAGGGACTTGTTTGCCCAGTTTGATATGTTTTGCTCTAATCACCTTCATTGCCATTTCAGGGCAGGGCAGATGGTAACAACCCAGCGCTATGGGTGCGCATGCACATGCAGCGACATCTATACCAGCTTGGATGTTTCATACATCAGCACGCAGGCAAAGTGTTATTTGTGGGACTACTTTTACTGTCGACATTCTGCGTAGGACTCAAGTCCGCACGAATGGAGACAGACATCAATTCACTATGGGTAGAAGGTAAGTAGTCGCTCCGGATGGGGCCGGGTGATGCAGTTGAATGCTTACACGACGCATTAGTGGGCCACTGATTGTGCATAATATAGATGGCGCTGGTGCGAGTGTAGTGCCACTTGAGGGAGCCACCTATTGCACGTGGTGGCGCCACTGTGAATCTCCACACGTGTGTAGACAATCATTCACATGCGACAGCATATGACACCCGCATACGTAGCATTGTGAATGAAACATTTCCAGCACATTACTGCTCTAGGGGAAACCTATCTTAGTCTAATAATGCGTATTCGCGAGGTGGCGAATCTGTAAACTAAACAGTGCCAGCGTATTATAAAATTCGTGCTTCCGTACTAGCACAAAGCTGTGTATAAAGTAGTATGGTGTCACCATTGCCTGCCAACAACCAGTGAGCATGTCGAACCATCTCAAGAGCATATCAAACGCACGATCATGTGCGTCTATATATGCATAGATACATTCCCTCAACCACAAATACATTCCCTCAACCAC